GCAGTTTCCCAGCAGTATACATCAGCTCGCTAGGACTGAGTCAGTAAGGGAGCAAAGATTGCCACAGCACAACATGGGCAGAGTTTGCAAAGCAGGCAGCTGAGCTGGGATTAATACCTGCACTCCCACAATGGGGAGTACAAAGCTGCGAGTGACAGAAGGTTTCCAGAAGCACAGGTTTATTTCTTGTCTTATGTCTGGTTGCTTTTCCCAGTTGCCTTTGGCTGTGGTTATTTTACAGTGTGGTACAGTTGCCTCATATTTAAAACATGCCTCCCTACAATGTCAAAGTCTTGTCAAATGGACTGTTAGCTGCCTAAGTCTGCTGTAGACCATGGAGGAGATAGTGCCAGTTGTCTTCCCTGCAAAACCTCTTGTGACAGGTAGTGCTGATGGTGGGAAAAGTAGCCTTCATCGCCATTCCTGAGTAGGAATGAAGCCCCTCCAGTGTGGTGGGAATAATGCAGTATATATCATTTTGCAGTTGTACGTTTACATAGAATATTCTAGGAGGGGCCACTGACTTCAATACGTCTTTTGGTAGATTAACACCTCTGAGGTTCCTTGGTCATGGAAGTTATACAGTGAGCAACAGTATTCACTAAAAATGCTATTACCCAGTGAAGTGAGGGATTAAGAGAAGAAAAATGCACTTGTGAAGAAGTAAAGAACAAAAGGAAGGAAAAACATGAGGCTTTGCATGGGAAGGGAAGGAGAATGCCAGCAAAATTCTGACTTGACCAATTTTTTACTCTTTGCTTAGTAGCTAGGGAGAGAAATGTTCTCCAGATACAAGAAGTCATGAGGTTGTTCCTTGACTTCTCAGCATTTCTCTCTCCTGGGAGGGAAGAACATTAGAAATGGGATAGGTTCTTAGATTATCAGTCTGACTGCCCAAATTTTAAGTTTTTTTTTGTAGTAGTAAGTCTCAAGATTGGTTTATTTATACTAGGTCTTCCATTGCTCATTCTGGAAACTGGTTGCAGCCCTCATACTCTGAAGAAATACAATTCATGTGAGACCATAGGATTGCACCAATCTTAGAAAACTCATCAAGAGGAAGAGATCTGTGTCCCTAGAGCTTGCAGTTAAATCCTGGACTCTGCAAGTTTCCAGCATGCTGAGTTGGCTCTGCTTTCTCAGAACCTTTACAGGTGTGTGAATACGGGCTACTTATGATCTTGGAGAGTCAAGCCTTCAGTCAGGGACAGTACTGAAAAAAAAAAAAAAAAAAAAAAAAAAAAAAAAAAAGAGGAATAATGATTTGACAGTCTGACAGCAACACATTGCTTTTGGGTTTGTGTGGGGCTGAGATCATCTGTGCATGCTGGTGGTTAGAAATGCGTTTGTGTTTGGGTGTGCATGTAGCTGTATTAAATGTGCATGTATATGATACCTATAATAAATATGTAATATACATATTGTACATGTTTAAGGAAATAGATGATTTTAAGAAGACAGCATTTGGCAGTGGTTCAGAAAAAAGGTGGTAATGAAATACTTCTGATCTGGATGCAGTGATTACAGCTGTATCTGGCTGCTCACCAGCTCCTTGTAAGTGCAGTTTTAAAGTGTTACTGCAGTCACATTGAGCCTGCATGAAGCAGGAGGTCCTTCCATGCCCTCTGAGCAGGAAAATTGGGAGCTTTGCAGCCTCTAGTCTGAGGAGGATACTTCAAGTTAATTGTATGTGTAAGGAATCAGCTGAGAATCTAAATTTTGCAGATAAACCCCACTAAATAGGAGAAAACAGAAGACAGCTGAACTGCTCAAGTACCCTTCATTTCTACTTTGCTAAATTAATTATTCATGTTTACTTTTTTCTTAAACAAGGCCAGGACAGTGAGAAGTACAACCACATCTTAAAAACACCTTCCCGCCACCCCTCCCTTCTTCTCAGGTTCAGCTTTGCTCCTGATTTCTTTACTTCTTCCCCCTGCGCTGGTGTAGGGGGCAGACCATGGGGTTGCGGTCAGTTCATCACCCATTGTTTCTGCTGCTCCTTCCTCCTCAGGGGGAGGTCTCCTCACACTTCTCCCCTGCTTCAGTGTGGGGTCCCTCACTCGGGAGACAGTCCTCCACAAACTTTCTCCAACGCGAGACCTTCTCATGTGCTGCAGCTCTTCCTGAGCTGCTCTGGTGTGGGTCCCTGCCGTGGGCTGCTGTCCTCCCAGCAGCAGACTCCAGCGCAGTCTTCCCTCAGAGTCCCTGCCTTCCTTGGGCCCGGACACCTGCTCCAATGTGGCGTCTTCCACGGGGTGCAGGTGGGCATCTGCTCCATTGTGGACCTCCATGGGTGGCAGGGGGACAGCCCTGCTGTCTCACCGTGGGCTGCAGGGGAGTCTCTGATCTGTCGCACCTCCTCCTCCATTCTTCAACTGACCTTGGTGATTTGCATAGGAATTTCTCTCACAACTCTTTGGGACATCTTCTGGTAAAAGAAGCTGCTCAAAGTCACCTCATTTGTTCCACATTTCACCAGATTTGTTCTTTCACAGCCCTTGGCCATTATCAGTTATTCTGGAGAAATGGCATTCTACATGTCTTCCAATTTACCTACCACCCCAAAAGATGAATCCCACTTTTGTTTTACTTTATATTCAATGGGATTTTGTTTTTTCTTCTTTGTCTGAGGATTTTGTTATTTATAAAAACTTAGATCTCTGGAGGAAGCCAGCATCTCTTAGACACTCGTCTCTAGATTTTCACAAACCCACTTCAGACACCAGTAAACTGCAATCCTTTCTTCCGTGGGTATTTGCAAGCATTAATGAACTGTCACACCCAATCCCATATGTTTGAGACATCTTACCCCTTAAGAGGCTAGGCATCTGAGCTGCTGATGGATTTAAGTAAAACAGTTGGATGTGTAGCCCTGGTTTGCCATCACTGCCATGTGTCTTGTCTGCAGAAGAGCTCCATCTCACTTAACCTCTTTTCAGATGGAAAAATATATTTTGTCCAGCAGCCAAAGGGAAATGCAAGCATCCTGGTGGAAAACAAGCTGTTTCAAAACCTTGGCTGCAAGCTACCCACACATCACAGTTATCAGCCAGGCTGCACATGCATAGTTACAGGGAATAAAATAGAGAGGACCTTCTGTTCCTATTCAGAAAGGTCTCTACCCATTCACCTACACCAAAGGATCATCGTCAGCTGCCAGTATTAATTTGTTCTCCTATGTAGGTTTCCAGCCAAAGAAGGGTAAAATAAGTCTAATTCAATCCAGCAGGAACACTTGCAGTGCAAATGTCAGCCCATATATTACAAGTCATTAATGCGACCCACTTCTAGATTACTTGGGGTAATTTCTGATTTTATTTTTTATTCCTTTTCTTTAATTAACTTCTGAGAAGAGAAGCTGAAATAGCAGTATGGGGAAAATCAAATATGAGAAACAAAGCCCATTTTTATTTTGAAATTCTGCTTCTCTTGTAATAGCAGTTTATTTAAAGAGGAGCCTGGAATAATCCAGTTTAAGCAAAGCGAAGAGCTCTACTGAAGCCAAACTGTGTGTGGGTGTGCTCTTGTCAGGGCTCCCAGAAGAGGAGGGCAGGAAAGGCTGTTAGTCAGACCTCAGATATTGCAGGAGATGTTGATTATTCAGTAGCTGGCATTTTTCCTTGGCACACCAGTACAGAGCCACTATTCTGGTATACTGGGAGAGGGTGCATCCTGTTGGGAAAAAGCTCAGATAACCTAGGATCCTGCTTTTTTGTTGTTGTAAAAGCAAATCGCCTAGCAGGTGGGTTAGGAATGAGTCTCCACTCCTTGGCCTCTTCCTGTCATTCCACCTTGTGCTGTGTTTGCAACAGGTCCCAGGCTGGGGTCTGGTGGTGTTGCTTTGTGATGGTGTTGTATGGGGCAGTCCCACCTCATACCATTTGGACCTGGGCCTGAAGCCACAACAGTGTTCAGACATAGTTCCTGCAGAGGAACAGTCAGTATAGGTCATTACAGCGTTTTCAGAGAATTACCCACATGATCAATTTTCTCACAGTAAATAGTCCCTTGATACTATGGGCTTCGCAGAGTTCAGAAAGTCAGGTGTAAGTATAAATCTTTGCATTATCTCAGCTTACTTTTATGCTCTGTTTAAATAATATTTTTTTCTCAGTATATTGCTCTTTAAAATTCCTATGGCAACAGCATAGCAGGATATGTTAAATAAAAGTAATTTAGGCATTTAAGGCAGGTGATTATGTTCCTTAGAAAAAGAAACACATAAATTGATGATTAGCTCTTGAAACATCAGGTGAGACTAACAAAGATGATAAGGTGCGATTCTGTTTCCACTGGTGGATTTGAACATGTAAGCATCATCTTTCTTTGTTATATATCCATGGATTTGATTTTTAATTATTTAGCTTGGAGATAATAAATGATGGTATGGTATTTATAGAAAATTGCATATTCCCAAGTTCTGCACTGTGAAATCCATATCTGAACTGGTTTGCAGTGAGCATCAGAATACTAATGATTTATTATATACAGGAATATTAATTAAATGTCAAGTGATCATGAATAAATAAGAACTCAACGTAGCATTTGTTTTAAAATAAAAAAATGTGTAATTAGATATTTATTTCTTAAACCCATGAGAATTACTGTAGACAATAAAGAGGGCATGAAGACTTGGACCCTCTATAGATATCAGTTGTTATGTTCAGGGTATATTTCAGACATTCACCCTCTGCTTCCCCTCTCCAAGGAGAGCCTCCCCTGGTCAATTCTTTCCATTGATTTTGAGTCTGCCTGCTCAGAAACTGAAAATGTTGATGCTGGTGGGGAAAATACAAGAGCAGCAATCGATTGCAAATACATTTTATGACACTGTTTCCATATTTTAAAGGTGAAAATTTATTAATGGCAGCAGATTTCTGATTTTCCCTTTTATACATATCAATCAAACCGATAGTGATTTGCAAGCTCCTGGACATTTTCATTTTCTCTGAAGCGCAAGCCCTTTTTTTTTTTTTTTTTTTTTTCTCTCCCCACAGACAGTGAAATCATTCCTCCCGACTGCCTGCGGCCCCGCTCCTTCACCGCCATCCGCCGGCCCTCGCTGCGGCGGGAGACAGAGGACACGCGCCTCTCGGTCAGCCTGTGCGACCTCAACCTGCAGGAGGAGACCTTCCACGTGACAGCCACCATGTGCCCCATCCCGCAGAACTCCCTCAACTCCCAGCACTCTCACCTCCTTCCCTCCCAGCTGGAGAGTGACCTCCGCTTCCACCACCTCCGGGGACCCCACGTCAAAATCCTTGATGACCAAACCGTGGCCCGCCTGGAGCACACCCGGGAGGAGAGGACTTTGGTTTTCACCAGCAGACCCCTTCGGATCAACGAAACCATTTTTGTCAAAATCAACAAGTCCAACACCGTGCGCACAGGGACGCTGTCCTATGGGGTGACGTCCTGTGACCCCAGCACCTTGCGCCCCAGCGACCTCCCCTATAACCCTGAGTCCTTGGTTGACCGAAAGGAGTTCTGGGCCATCTGCCGAGTCGTGGTGCCCCTCCAGAGCGGAGACATCCTGGGATTTATGGTGAATTCGGATGGTGAGCTGCACTTGAATCACAATGGTGCTGGCACTGGCATGCAGGTCTGCGTGGACTGTTCCCAGCCCCTCTGGATGTTCTTCGTTTTACACGGCGCAGTCATACAAATTCGACTGTTGGGTATGTTGGACCCCCTTTTTCCAAATCTCATGCACAAAAAAGCAAGGGAGGGATACATTACAGGGGAAGGGTGGAGGGAATGAATGGTTTCCTCTCTGGTCTAGGATCAGGTGCAAATTTTGGTTTTATAAAAGGAAAAAACCCAAACCAACAAAGGCACATGTGTATCACATGGATATGAGTTACAAGACTTACCTCTTTGTGCTTCTCTAGCATCCTTCACCTGACGGTTTCAAAGCTCTTTTTAGATAATGAATTAAGCCTCAGAGACCTCCATTAACATACAGATGAGTCACTGCTGACATAGGAGAAGCAAAGAAGGGAGAGGAGAGCTGCTTTGGGCTGAGGTAATGTAGGGCATAGCCAGCAGGAAAAATGAGATCTGATGCCCTTTTCTGTGTGTTAGCTATCTGGCATGACCGATTCCCAAAAAGAGAGGTCCCCTTGCTTTCCCAAGTCTTCTTGTACATGAGAGGCAGGCTAACAAGCAGAGAGGAAGCCCTGTGCCTCATGATTCTGGCGGTGCACAGAGTGTGGCACTGACGAGCTCAACAGGTGAGGGGTTTCCTTGTCCACGAGCCCTATTTAAGGCAGTGTAGCTCATACAAGTTGTTTGACCTCTGAGGACCTGGCCTGTTTCTCTTGATATATTTGCTCTGTTTTTAAGCTCTGTTAACTGAAGTACTTCATTTAAATGTTGAAAATCATGTTTTGAATGTGTGGAGGGAAAAGCCTTGAAATAGCATTTGTTCAGGATCAAATTTACTTTTGTGTGTGTGTGTGTGTGTGCGCGCGTGCATGTTGGATACAAGTGTAGGATGTGTTTGGCCATAAATTTGGACCATATTGTGGTTCTGCTGGTGTCAGTGTCAGAAAGTAAATGATGGATTCTGAGAACATGATGTAATTCCTGGTACTCCTCTAACTGAAGATGATTTTAAAATGCTCCTTTCTTGTTTATACTGTTATATTCCTTTTTGCTTCAAATCCTTATTATTAAAATGCCCCTCTTACCCAACAGGAAAAAAAAACCAAACCCAAAATCCAACCAACACCTCCTTTTTTAGCATTTATAGACAGTCTTTGAAGGTAAATTGTGGTGAACTCACACATCTGTCTGCAGGGTCCAGTTCACCTTAATCACTTTATGAAGTGCCTTATATGATTTGCTTAATGTTGACCATAGGCCTATTCTGTGAGTGTTTTGTGGCTGTTAAAGGCTCACAGATGACAAATGTAATACTGCAATTTATTTCCAGGGGTGCAGGACTCAATCCCTGATAATTCAGCCTGATTACATTTGTTGTGCATACTGTACATTATCTGTGGCTAGCTCTGCTCTCCACCAACATGTGATTGTGATAATGGTAGGTGAAGTCAAACAGATCCCAGTAAAGTAGGAGATTAAATGCTCCTGTATACATTAGAAGGAAAACATCCTCAGGTCACTGAGCTGCTGGTAAAACTAAGTCATCAACCAGTGCTTCCTTTCATATGAGATCACTAATTCTGGCAGTTTTGCACAGAGCAAATAGCCTGCTTGCAATGGGTCCTGAAACAGGGCAGTGAGGATGTGTCTCACCAAAGGGACAGAATCATGTCCTCATACAGAATTCAACAGAGCATGGACATGAACACCTCCTGTGTCCTGGGCAGACCTCCTGCTGCACATACCTTGTGTATGTCCTGCCTACCTGCTCACAACTTCAGCCCAAACCAGTACACTCCTAGTGCATGTTTTAGATAAATCTGCATCTGGAGCCATGAAATGAAATCTACTGAGTTGGAAAACTCCTCACTACCTGTATTTGTGACCACATAACAGACTTTTCTGGCCTTGGTCACTGGAAGAGAAGTTGAAAATGAGCTATTTTTCTTAACAGAGATCTAAGTGAAAAGAACCAGTCTTGCTGACCTTGCCTCTCTCAAGGGCCCTGCTGAGTGTACAGCTTTATCCACATTGGTTTGGGCAGCAAGCTGCTATCTCCCAGTTAAAAGCTGTGAAATTGGAGCTTGCCTATAATCTTTAACAGGTATTAAAATACAAATAGAGCTTTTCTGACCTATGTTTCCAGCATAACAATGCTGGGAGCAGTACAGTCCCCACACTAGTACTGTGTAACTGTCCAGAGAAAAGCACTGAGGCTGCCCCAACACTACACATCTCTGCAACTGCAGTTATTATATGGATCAGCAATATCCCAACAGAAGGCAAAGAAAATAATGAACTACCATCTCTAGATTTTGCCATGTTATTAGGGAGGTGATGTGCACTGTTGGGACTGCAGTGAAACAGATTATGGTGCTTGTCATGATATCTGTCATCATAATATTAGAAAATGTAAGAAAAATATAAAGTGTTCATCTTTCTAATGACAAGCTCTATCTTCAGAATGCAAACAAGAGTAATTTTGTGTGATCTGTCTTTTGTAGTTTGAGGAGAAGACATGTTTATAGTCATCTTTTTATAGTTTTAATAGAAAAAGTGAAGTTCTATATCCTTGAAAGAAATGAGGCATAAATACTGCAAGAGGCATAATTGTATCAAACCTATCTTAAATAGCAGATGTCATTCTATTTCTGGGGGCACGCCATTATTAGATTAATCAAAGCAATGTTATGCAGTGTTAAGGGAACATCAGCATGACAGCCGAATATAAAATGAAATTAAAGTTGCTAGTTTTGCTGCTTATTCTGCTTTTCTGTTTCATTTGGAGGATTGAGAAGATGCAGAGCAGCAATGCCATTCTTGCACCTAGCGAAGATGATTTTTTGATTCAGAGAACAAGATGGCTCAGGGTATTGATCACTGGCTACTACATTTCACACCTTGAGATCAATTATTTGGTCCTGACCCAGAGCAGGACCAAGCTCAGGTCTCTCATTGCTTGTGGCTTTGCCATAGAAGCTGACATTTGCTGACTGAAGTTACTCCACAGTGCTGGGGTTACATCATTTATTTACGAATCTAGATATCAGGGGAGACCATCTCTACCCAGGCTGATGTTCTTACGGAGCACTATGAGAGGAGGGCAGTATGGGGTTGGTTTGACAGTAAAGAATTCCTACTTCTGTTTCTATTTTATCAAGCTGGTATCATATACTGGCAATATATTTGCTGCAGGAGAAATGAAAAAGCAGAAAATAAAGACAAGGCTGGAAACACTATTTTTCTTTATGTCACCCCAGCAAGGGGAAAATAAATTAAAGCTAAGCACCACTATAGCGTGGTGAGAGGCCACAGTCATCTGTAGTGGGAGGTAGAAGGATGTAAATTTGTTTTAAAGAGAGGTTAAAATGCAACTTGACCAACGTGGAGGGAAGATAAATTGAAGAGGACGGTACTTTAATGTAGCAGATAATAGCATAAAAATATCAAGCTGCTGGAAAATTAAGGGGCACAAATTTAAATTATACATAAGTGAGGGTAATTAGCTACAGGAACCAGCTATTGAGGAAGGCAGTAGATCTTTTTGTCAGGATTGGAAGCCCTTCTAACTATTTTATATGTAAAGTGCTGGTCTTAATTCAGAAATTCTGTGGGTTATGCACATAAAGACAACCAAACTGAAACCCAGATGATTAGGCATGTAGAAATGAAACAGTCTTTGCATATCCTTTAGGAATTCCATTAGTTCAGGCTTGGTTTTTTTTTTTTTTTTTTCAGGCATCATTCCTGTATAGTCGACAAAACCAACCTATTAAATTTGATTTACTGCTTTCAGCTCTTGCTGGTAAGCATTTCAGCTCACACACAGTTTTATCGACAGCTCTGTAAGGTTGAAATGAGCCAGCCTGGATACATTGGTCTGGTTTTGGTCTGGTTTTGGTGGTGTAATTCATTTATGAAGTTAAATTGATTGACCCCATAAGGTTTTAAAATGTATGACTCATGTCTGGAGGAGCTATCACAGCAATAAGTTTATATATTTAGTATTTGGGTATCCAAACGGTTGGGGAGATTCTTTCATTTTCTTTTGTCTCAGAGTGAATCACCAGCATTTAAAACATCTTCCTTCATCTCCTTTTTTTTCTTTTTTTTTTGGTGTGGTTTCCCTTGTGAATTTCATCCTTTCCAGTAATACTGAAGTTTTCTTTTGAGCGATGAAATAACATGTTCCATCAACAGTCATACTAATGAAGCTGAGTTCCTAACTTATCTGTGTCTCTTCTATCCATGCACGTCAATAACTCCAGCACCACCAGAACAGCTGCGCAATATTGCAGCTCTCTGGATGGCTCCTAATGCTAGCCAAGACCCAGCATTAGGCCTGAAAAAACAATCCCAGAGCCAGCAGTGTGGATGAGTTGGTATTTACATCCATGTTGGATAAATGCAGAGTGAGTGGGTTAAGCTCTCCTGCCTCCTTTACTGTGGGCATATGAGTTGGGACTCCTACCTACCTGTCCATTGCAAAATATTTAGAAAACAATTGTGGCTGAGATTTCCATTCTCCCAGATTTTCTTGAAATTTGCTAATGGGCTCAAAATTGAGATGAGGGCGGGGAAAGAAGAAGAAAGGGCTGACCGGGGACTTGAAGACAGAGCAATTTCAAATCCTTGGTTTCTTGGGATTTCTGACAACAGCAGTCAGCAGAGGAACAAATTGGGAGTTGGTTCAACGGAGTACTGTGGGACAAAAGGTGCTGGCAAAGGGCTAAGTCAACAGTGAAATTTGATCTGAAGTGTCCTCAGTGCCAGTGGGTAGAGGCAAACTGCAGTCAGTCTCATTGTAGGCAGACTTACACAAAACTGTGCCCATTAGGACTCTTAATGGTCACCAAGCTCAGCAGCTCTGGTGGTGCTGTCCATGTTGCAATAGAGCCCTTATCCTGAGGAATCAACTGGAAAGAGTTGCAGTTTCATGGCTGAACAGAGTAGTGTCCTGCTTAGGTGACACAGAACAATCATTTACCAGGAGAAATTAATTTGCCTTCTTCTGGGCCATTCAACATATTGCCCTGTTTGGTTTTCTTTGACTTTAGCTCCATCCTAGGTG